AGATTTTGATCTTCCTTTGGACTGAAATCTTGCTCTTCATCCAAACTTTCTGAAATTTACTAAAGGCAACATTACCAAGGAATATTCGATTCTTGATATCCTTAACAGTGCACATCAACGATCCTAAAGTTTTGTTAGAGCGCCACTCTTCATCACTGAATGAATACTGAATGAATACTGAATGAATACTGAATGAATACTGAATGAATACTGAATTAATACTGAATGAATACTGAATGAATACTGAATGAATACTGAATGAATACTGAATGAATACTAAATGAATACTGAATACTGAATGAATACTGAATGAATACTGAATGAATACTGAATACTGAATGAATACTGAATGAATACTGAATACTGAATGAATACTGAATGAATACTGAATGAATACTGAATGAATACTGAATGAATACTGAATGAATACTGAATGAATACTGAATGAATACTGAATGAATACTGAATGAATACTGAATGAATACTGAATGAATACTGAATGAATACTGAATGAATACTGAATGAATACTGAATGAATACTGAATACTGAATGAATACTGAATAATATACTGAATACTGAATTATAATTATGATGTATTATTTTCTAAAGTTATAATGTAGACAAGGAAACACACGTTTCCTACCCTACCACCCTCCCTCCAGGGGAGGGAGGGTAGGAAAGGAGGGAGCCCGAAGTCCTTAACACCCGTACATACAAATACAATGGGACCTAACCGTTGGTTAAGAAAAACCCCTACCCTACCACCCTCCCTCCAGGGGAGGGAGGGTAGGAAAGGAGGGAGCCCGAAGTCCTTAACACTTGTACATACAAATACAATGGGACCTAACCGTTGGTTAAGAAAAAGACACGTCGATCAGGGAAAGCAGATTAGTTGTTTTTTATTTGTATAAAATAGCACGTGGGTCTGAGTTAATTACTCCACAAAATTTGAAGCATTCCCGTTAGATTGAATAATATATTTGAAGATTGTTGTTGCAAACGTTCTATACGTATCCTTTGTAATATCATGAGTCCTATTTCTTATTCATTCTGTGACAAGTCTTTTGTCAATAAATATAGCTTGTCCTCACACAAAAGTCGGTATCATCGAGAGAACGGAGAGTCAGAAACAAGCTCTAACATTCAACCACTATCAAAAGCTAACTCGGATGCGACTGATGTAAAACTGGATTATCCTGCTTCCACATATTCAGATGCTGATACGATAATATCTGAAGAATCTCAACAAGACGGTTCTAACTCTGAGGAAACAAGTGCTGATTACGAGTCAAAAACACCATATAGTGATAGTAGAAGTGTATCAAGTAGTGATGAGTTAGAATCTGACTCAGTTCGGCAACACAAAGGCAAGCGGAAAGGCGTAGCAATCGAGCAAATAAATAAAAAGGTAAATGATATGTCGAAATTACTCAAATCTCTAGATGTCCTGTTACAAAGTAAATTGTGCAAGGAGGAGAACAAATGTATGGACTTTTTATTCTCTTACATAATGAAAACGGAAATGTTTGAGAAATTTGAGCAGCATCTCATTGACTGTGGACAAGACATCGCCACAATTTTAAGTATGGAAGAACAAGCTCTTTTGACTGCAGTTATCACGACTACAAGTCTATCTGATGTCAACAAACTAATGAACGAGAACAAAAATATTATCATCAAGCTTCTTAAACTTTCACAAATGTATCGTCAGGAAGATTCTTGAACTTTATAACCAAACGTTGATAATTATTGAGATAAGTATTTGGATATATAGAGTTATTGAATATAGTTTAGTTAAAGTTATCTTCAAAAATCTAAACGTGTGTTTCCTTGTCTACATTATAACTTTAGAAAATAATACATCATAATTATAATTCAGTATTCAGTATATTATTATTAGTATTCATTCAGTATTCAGTATTCATTCAGTATTCATTCAGTATTCATTCAGTATTCATTCAGTATTCATTCAGTATTCATTCAGTATTCATTCAGTATTCATTCAGTATTCATTCAGTATTCATTCAATATTCAGTATTCATTCAGTATTCATTCAGTATTCAGTATTCATTCAGTATTCATTCAGCATTCATTCAGTATTCATTCAGTATTCATTCAGTATTCAGTATTCATTCAGTATTCATTCAGTATTCATTCAGTATTCATTCAGTATTCATTCAGTATTAATTCAGTATTCATTCAGTATTCATTCAGTATTCATTCAGTATTCATTCAGTATTCATTCAGTATTCATTCAGTATTCATTCAGTATTCATTCAGTATTCATTCAGTATTCAGTATTCATTCAGTATTCAGTATTCAGTTTTCATTCAGTATTCATTCAGTATACATTCAGTATTCAGTATTCATTCAGATTTCATTCAGTATTCAGTATTGTGTAAGATAAGGTGACGGATTTCATCTTATCCTACTCAAGAAAATATTCTGATCACAAAATACCAGGAAACAGAACACGGAACATTAATCGATGAACTGCTGCCAGATACCGAGCAAATATTTACGGGTATGATTTCTACAATATTCTAATATTGTACTAAAATACTATGTTGATATACGACAGCTCAAATATAACAAAGCAGAATAGTGCGAACCTTGAGCATAAAACTAAACAAAACAACTTTGATCCAGTTGTCACTTACCTAAAGCTAATACCTCAAGATATGAAGAAGATAGAGACTGTCCAGTAAAACACGCACCTGTTCGTAATTATACCTTATCAAGATATTTAACAAAGACAAACACTGAGTTCTAATGTAAAGGGACGGTCCACTAATTGAGGTAGGAATTAGCACTATCTTTCATTGGTTATTATATTTAAAAATTCCTCGCACACTGTTCAATTTGTTGAGATCTTCTGATATAATTGTAGAAATATAAAATATCTAGACCAGTCCTGACAAGAGATTTGAGTCAAATACATTGCACAGCTGCTACCGTGATTATTCTGTACTAGGTCTATGGCTATTATACAATGACAAATTATTCTCGAGGCTGTAAAGTAACCGTCCTGTAAGTCCTCTCTATAAATTACATTGCATATCAAAGTATCAAACAGTCAGTGTAATACGTGCTCGAGTACACTATATATATTTATCAGCTTCTACAAAATCTACATTTTGTTGACACGTATTTCTTTTAAGAAAGTCACATTTTTATCAATTCACTTTAGTTTTGTTTGGGTCTTAAATTAAGCAAATATCTGTCAAGTACAAACACAGCTGTTGCCGTAACTTTACTTTACAATGACGGTACAATCTTGGTACTATTGAGTAACCTTCCTGAAAAGTGCTTTCTCATTACGTTACCATATCAACCAGGTGTTGTCCTAAACTGTACACTCTAGTTAAATTTAGCTAGCACATAAGTCACTATATCCCTTTATCCGTACATTATACTGCAGAGGTCGCCTTGAACCAGATGTTAATAATGTCGATAGACAACTGATGTAATTGTACGTGAACGTGTACACTATACATTTAACGACTTCTGCTGTGTGATGAATGTATTTAGTTGATACTCTGTGTAGGGTTAGATTTGCTTGAATATGGGTTAGATTGCTTGAATATGGGTTAAACTAGGTTAAAATGTGTACCATAATAATATAATCACATTGGAGAACGACTCCGACTGGGATTCGAACTTGAAACCTCCGGCTAAAGTTGTGGCAGATTAGTCAACTGTGCTAAAATGACATTTTAGTAAACTGTGTCTCGGATAGCGCTCAAACGGGGCTCCAAACCATGACACTATACTACTTATCGCGACTTATTCGCCCCGATTACAGTAATTGAAATGACAATGAGTGATGAGGGTCACGTCACGACGTGATACAAGTAAGTTATATTATAAACCTACAACATTGTTTAACTTAATGGACTGACCCAACACGCGCTACTACTGTACTTGAACTTTGCAGCAATAATTAGCCTGGGGTCCTCAGATAAAAATAAAACTGGGCGTCATCTTGCATAGTACGTGGTAGGTTAATGCTATAATTTTAAAAGCCTGACTCTTTATCTCATCGTAGGTGGTGCATGCTTTGATGTTTGATTGACAACTAAACAGACACTACGTTGTCCATTAACAATGGACTGACCCGGCGCGCGCTACTTCGAAGAAATTTCGCGAGATAGATTACAGATTAGTAGATAGATAAATATAATAGTAGTATAGTACTAGATAGTAGTAAAGTACTAGTAGTGCATTGCTATGTAATGGTTTATAACGTACCTACCAAGACGCGCGCCGAGTTGGAATTGTCGACGGTCTAATTTGTCATACGTTGTATTATGACCCGCTGTATATGACCCGTTGTATATGACCCGCCGCGCACGAAGTGCGCGGCTCCCCCTGTATCGTCGAAGACGATAGTGAAGCGACAGTGGGGGTCACCACGTGATACAAGGTCTATACTACTAATTGGAACAAATATGAAATATTTTACGAATATCACCCGTTAAAATGTAACTGGTAACGTCACAATTACTACGTTTAGTTTTTGGACAAATTTCAACCACCATTCCCCTCTGTAACCAGTTTTACACATCACACGTGACTGTTTTTATATAATTACACTAGTGTATTCAGTATTGGGTACTGTATTCTCTACTAACCACGCTCGGCATTGTAACATGAAACTAGTTAATAGTACCCCAGTCTCCGTTTCTAATTTACAGTACGTCTAACAATAGCTTACGATTATCTCTATTCATAATGTCCATTACAGCCGACCACTGACGCCAATTGAATGTAGGTTATAGTACTACAATACCAATAATAGGGCGCCGCAAGTGTGGTACTAATTGCCGGTTAGAAGTTTGCATTATCAATTATGCGTTCCTTGGGACAGCCATTAGACTAGAGGGTAGGGGTGAACGGTCCTTATCTACACATTTTGGCACAGAAAAACGCTTACGTCGTGGTTGACTTTTCGAATGTCCGTAGGAAAAAAAACATAAAAGCAAGAAAAATTCAACAATTTCTTGATGAGTGTGATTCAAAAGCGTTACGCAATGATCAATCTGATATTTAACTATAAATATTTTTAAATAATCTCCAACGAGGATGGAAAATAAAAGAACTAGTAAGGCAGAGCGGGGTAAAACAAGTACGTTTAAACAACAAATAGTGCGCCGGGCCAAAAATACAATACTAGCGCATTAATAATGAGGCAGTTTGCTATTTACATTTAAAATAGGAGCATAAAACCTTATGGTTTTTAATTATACTCACGTTGCCAAAACAATTAAAGAAGATATATTATTAATTATAGCCAGCACACGTATTACAACCATTAACCAACAATTATCCATAAAGGATTATAACTCGCAACAAAAAGAAGTACTAGAAACGAAAGCGGTAAGTTTTTCGGCACACATTGGTATGATTCACAAAAATAGAGGAAGTACTTCTTGAGAGATTTAAAAAGGAGATCCACAAAAAGAAATCTTTTTGAAAGGAAGTAGTGCCTAAAATACAGTGTCCGGTGGATGGAGTTCCTAAGATTTTTGGAGGCCCGTTTCCTGGCGAATGATTGATACCAAATCCTTACTCTCTGTATTCTCGCCAAACAGCGTGTAACAGCCAGATAATTCCTCGGTTTTGACAATGTTTTCTAAATTTCCAGAGATGATGGTTCCGTTACAGGGAGGCTCGGGGGACTTGCGACATCCAATGACACTTTGAACTTTGGGCTGAATAACGGATGAATCCTGGTAAACTGGCATGCTGACATTCTCACTGAAGGTTCCCGAAAACGAATCGTCCGGACTGGGAGTGGATCTGGCCGTTTGCCACGTCGGCTGTTGCTGTTGTTGCTGGAATCCCATTTGCCGTTGTTTGGCTGCTTGACGTTGAAACCTCGGGATGTTGGGCCTGTAGTTGTAATAATCGTACTTTTTGGTACGGCTAGAGTTCATGTTGTAATAAGAATTTGCGCTGGCGGTCGTGTTGGTGTATGTGGGTGATGGTGTGCTGTTATTCAGTGTTCTCTCTTGCTTTGGAGTTTTTTCTTCGTTCTTAGGACTTTGTATCCCTCCACTGCGTACGTTCTGAAATAAATAAGCGTTAAATTTCGGGCGGTTCAAAGATTGCTTATTTAACTGTATTTCATCCCTGAAGCTTTACAGAGAACGTAAGAAGTACTGCTTGCTTGTTTGTAAAACAACTTATTGTACTAGTTCGGACTACTATGGAGGGGGCGATCTTAAAGCAGACCGAAGTTCGGACCATGCATTTCTCTCGCGCGCTGGACAGTCTTTGTTATGGTGCGCGCGTCGAGATCACAATGTGCAAGAAACGAATAGCAGCGCTAGCTTTTGCACTGAATAAGGGTTTGTCTTGCTAGTACCGAAAGCGCAATTTGTGACTTTGACCCATCATTCCAAGATCGGCCCTACGGGCGCGGCGATGGCAGTCAACAAGCTTTGCGGTCGGTTGTAAGAGTCAATAGCATTCATGTGATTGGCGTTATTCAATAACTTTTGAGATCATCCAGGAATAGATTAAGCTCAAGAATCATTGCAAATTATATAGTTGACCACCTGTATCTTTTAGAGTGCATTAGTAAACCATTTCTAAGTAAATATAATATTTCTAAGAACTGTCACTGATGGTGCAAGTATTGAAGATACAGCTGTTAATCTACGACATGTTGACATACCACTGATACTGATTAATATGATGATATAACTCTTCATCACCGCTGACAGAGACCACCCACTAAGATATCAAAGCTAGAGGGGGAAATCATTTTTATAGTTGTAACATTTGTGATGGTTCGGATGGGGATGGACTCAAAATTTGAGGGGGTTCGTCTCCAGCAGCTATATCACACATTATGTTATAAAACTATGAAAATGATTTTTACCCCCCCCCCCTCTCCTCTCTGTGTCCTTGACAGTCTACAGACAAACGATTTAGGCTCCGCGCCGGTAAATGCATTGACGTCAAATCGAATAGTGCGACCTTAAAATAAAATCTGTAAATATTAAATATTCAGGGTCGCCAAATACCAATATGAATTACATATATATATTAACGATCATTATGTTGCGCAATACCATATTGTATTTACTCCAGAATCACAATAAAACTAAGGTACTGTATCTTTTTACTTATAATTAAAAGAATTTAATGTCTGCACGACCGCCCAATTAGACGAGAAATAGGTAGTTGCAAAGTAACCATGGTAACGGTGTTGAAACGCGAACATGAACGTGCAATGATTGTTTTAACGTCAATTTGATCGGTTTTGTGGTAATTACGTTTTGTTCAGTGCGAGCTACATTTTAATGGACTGTATATATTATATGATATTTTTGATGCTATAAAAACCGACTACCAAAGAATACTATTACCTTCCTCCCTGTGATTACAGGCTTTCTAGTATTATGTAAATTACATAGTTCTTTTCCACGAAATCAATATTCAACGAATAATAATAATAATAAGTATATCACAATTAAGGCCTATAGCAATATGGTCGTGAAAAGTAATCAATTATCTAATTAATTACCCAATTATCTAATTAACACCTATCTCCCATGATATTTCACTGTACCAATCACAGAGCAGAAGATCACCATGATATCGGATACGCTACAAATTGGATTTATTATCCTGATGTCAGGGTGATAATTGAAAGAAAAAATTCTTTTGCAGTACGTGATTTCGGGGACATTTATCAGCACGTTTTTTCCATTTGCAACATTCTTCTGGAGGCCTCAGAATTAGATTGAAGCAGCTGAATCGTACGGGCGTTGGTAGACAATTCAAATAAGGTATTATTAAAACTCGCACCTGTCGCTACTTTAATCTCCTGCTTAAGAGACAGATCTAGGTCAGTTATATAATATACATTATTTGAAGTGTAAGCTGCTGTATCCAGTGTGCTAATCTCATGGAATAGAAGTGAGCAGGTCTCAATACAATGTTAAATATAATACATTAGGGGGGGGGGGTCAACCTCATTTTACCTCATTTTACCTCATCCCAATTTTGCCTTTTTTGGCTGGCCTCATGAGGTAAAATGAGGTAAATCTCGGCAAAAATTTTAACAGGTAAAATTCTCTAAATCGTCAATTTAGTCACGAAGGAGTATGGAAGGAGTTCTAAATGTGTGTTCCTCTAATATAAACAATAAGAAATGGTTAACTTTAGTCGAGGTCTCAGGTCTCTACAATGTCGGGAAGTTCCTGCAGGAATTTGCGCATTGCGCTTGAAGCGCAAGATTCACAGCGCCAAAAGCGAAGGTCGTAGAGACATGAGACCTTGACTAAAATTAACCATTTCATACCATTCTTATAAGAGTATGCCACTTTCAGAGTCCTGAACACACTCCCATATCTCTTAATCGTCAATTATATGAATTTTACCTGTTAAAATATATCATCTTTTACTGATATCATTTTAGTTTAACACTGTTAGTTTTAAAAAAGAAAATAATACTTCACACCAAACTAACACACAATATGAGAATATAAAAAGGAAGGTTTTCTTGGAGACCTGGACCGAGCATCAAAATAGTGTACATTGCTACTGTCATTGTCAAGACTCAAGAATAAGAGGGTCTAGTTGTGGGATTATGCTGGATAACAGATATGATAAGTGGTAACATCCTACAAAAGAATGTTAGCTTACTAAGGAATTTTCCTCTTACTGAATCATACAAGAATTTAACTAAGTTCCTCCTAGTCCTAAGCATTATCTTGTTTCAGAGGGAATGAGTGATTTAAAAAGATGAGGCCGAAGAGTTAGTTGTGAAGAAGGCATTTGTACTCTGTAATTTCTAAGCTAATTTTTTTCGATATTTTTAGCTATTTACTGATCTTGTCTTGACGTATCAGCAAGAGATCACTGGACCTCGTTAGTTGTTAGTCATGTTATGCTGATACAGTTAGTGACGAGCTATGAAGTAATCATTCGACCTCATTTAATACTGATCCTATCAATGACGAGCTATGAAGTAATCAGTGGATCTCGTCAATGCTCATCCTGTCCGGACTGTCACTGACGAGTTATAAATGAAGACCTCATTAATTCCCTTGTTCCAAGAAGATATTCCTCTGGTAACAACCCCTTCTGGCCTGCTTCTGAACATAATATAAAGATTCGAAAACCTAGTCTACCTTAATTGGAACTTGCTGACTGCATTGGAAAATGGAGAACAATCGAGAAATGATAATCAGTGCCAGGATATAATCAAAGTTAAATTTGGAATCCAAGGAAAACCTTCCTTTTTTATACTATCATATTGTGCGTTAGTTTGGTGTGAAGAATTATGTTTTTAAAAAAATTAACAGTGTTAAACTAAATTGATATCAGTTAAAGATGATATATTTTAACAGGTAAAATTCATATAATTGACGATTAAGAGATATGGGAGTGTGTTCAGGACTCTGAAAGTGGCATACTCTTATAGCAATGGTATGAAATGGTTAACTTTAGTCAAGGTCTCATGTCTCTACGACCTTCGCTTTTGGCGCTGTGAATCTTGCGCTTCAAGCGCAATGCGCAAATTCCTGCAGGAACTTCCCGACATTGTAGAGACCTGAAACCTCGACTAAAGTTAACCATTTCCTACTGTTTATATTAGAGGAGCACACATTTAGAACTCCTCCCATACTCCTTCGTGACTAAATTGACGATTTAGAGAATTTTACCTGTTAAAAATTGGTGAAAAATATGGGCGTGGCCCAAGTCAGTATTATACGAAACCTTAGAGACACAACAATTTTTTTGGTTGTTCCCGACCCTATAATAGAGCAACTAATTAGAGGTGATATCTAATTATTTCAACGAAAGGTGGTTTTCTGAACCGCCCTTTATTCTACAGCGAAACATTGAACATGTACATAAGAACTTAGAATTGTATGAAGTATGAGTTTATATGAGTAATTTTTATTATGAAATGACCTTTCACTATGCAATTTCGACTAAATTCATGTAGATATCCAATCCATTTCCATGCACAACTGTTGTTTACATTTGGTCTAGTTAGACACAATTTGTTTTAGAGTGACTCGATAATCGCAATATCAAATTAAGATATTATTTAAATGGTCCATGTCATGCAATGCGGAAATATCCCCATAAATTGGCAACTGCCCAAGTGACACTAAAGTTATTGCTAATTCCTTTACAAAACTTAGCAAGTGCTATTTACAATATCCTAATGGATCATGGAAATTGAAATGTTCAATTTTCTTTTCATAAATAATAATTATAATGCGAAGTTTTATTTACCCCAAGTTTGGAGAGTAAGTAGGTTAAACTGGGAATGCCCCTTCCCAGGGACCACATCACCCCTAATAAACCATTACATATCATGGGAGACCATGCACAGCCTCGAATTATAGTATAATGACTTCGAATAAACCTTTTTTGTCTCTAAAAAAAGGCTTAGAAAACTAGATTTATTTACCTCATTTTACCTCATTTTACCTCATCCCAATTTTGCCTTTTTTGGCTGGCCTCATGAGGTAAAATGAGGTTGACCCCCCCCCACATTATAGCGTAGTACTACCATGGCGAGCTATTTCACATGTACAAATAAGCTCCACTTAAAACACGAGAAATATTATTATAAACATGTTTAACATATTATATTTCAGCAATACTCATACGTGTTATGAGCGGAATTATAATTCATACCAACAATGTAACATAGTGTATTTCCCATAATGAAGTAAAGGCAAGTACACACAGAACATATTCTATACGGGGGGCGGGGTTATCTCTGTGTATAAAGAAGTAATATGATTAAAAAGTGTGATGTAGAGCTCCACCTTGTATATCAGAGAATTTAATTAGGTAAGGCAGGTGGTGGCTGATTTGTCTGGAGAGATTGAAATGAGATTTATAGCACAGTACATCGTGCACAGTACACTTTCTTTTATTTAATACGAAACATACATGTTAATTGTGTCCCAAGGGTTTATAGACAGATTACAGATATATAACAAATAGATCAAAGGCTTTACTAGATCATAAGAAAACGCTTTTAATTTTGTACAAAAGTTTAATAATTACATTACAATTACGCAGCATT